ACACTTTTCATTACTCGTGCAGCTTAATCAAATATTATATGTCATTTTAAACGACCCATTGGTATTAACATGGTAACATCAATGTATTATTAAAAATCAGACAGCGACGTTCTCTCAGAAGTTCGTTGTTCAATGAGATTTTCGGGTCGATTCAGCCGAGACGGCCCGAGTGGAGTTTCATGTAAATGTTTCGTACGGAAAAAAAAAATCGCAAGCGGTCACTCGCCTTACACTTTCGTCACACCCGTAATTGGTTAATAAAATACATGCTCCCAATACTTGCTTGCACCGGGGCCCCGTGATTAGATGTTATATGCCACTTAAGCTTTCGGAGGGATATTTAAGTTGGCATAATCAAGGTGTAATTTGTCTAATACTTGTTTACTGTAGTTAACAAGACGCTGTATAAATTTCATATTTCTATTCCATGTTTTAGTATATTGCAATTAAAAAATAAAATGAGGCCGTGGCCAATCGGGAACATGTGACCTCCGTTCCCCCTCTCTGAATCCGCCTCTGATAGAGCACTGCAATTACTGCTTAATGGCTTTGTGTTTCTCATCTATAAGAGAATACCCTATTTTAAATTCGATTTGATTGCTGTTGATTTGACAAGGGAAAAACAAAAATCAAAACAGGATGTCGCCCACGATAATCAGTGCACTACTACTAAATCTCTGACATTTTCCTGATCATTATTTATTATTGACATTATCAACAATATCCACAATATTCTGTTATATGAAGGCCGTATGAATAATTAATTAACCACTTTACATGTAAACTGAGTTAGAACTGCAGATTTAATCATTGTTCGTTTCGTTGTATTTTCTTTCATCCAGCCGACTTACTGCGGGGAGACAAACTTAGCATGCCTTTAGGTCGATTCATCGGCCTCATCCCGGTACTCCTGAAAGAAATCGACAGCTAATTTGAATATAATATAATGTAAATAATTAATGTATGATAGTATTAATAGTCATAACAACGGTGTTGAAAATAACATTGATATTAATGTGTTTTGAGTGAGATCAGCAGCCTAGTTGTAAACAATCACTTCGGCTTAAACATACTACCGCGTTGAACATTTAAAAAAACCGAATCAGCAACAATACACTTTAAGTCTAGATAGGCCTATAATATTTGATGTGTACATTGCTTAAATGGAAATGGATTAAATTTAAATATATAATTATTTAAAGGGTATTAAAATATAAGAATTCAAATATTAAAAATAATATACCAGCTAAATGCGGTTTTGTAGGAATGTCTGATTATAGAAATGACCTTTTCTTTAAAAAAAAAAATATACAGGCCTCCCTCTAATTAAAGACCCATGATCCAATTAAGACCACCTTTCTGTGGTCTCAAATTAACCAATTTCTTTTATCTTTATTATTCTAATTAGAGACCAAAGCTGCTAAAGACCATGCAAATCCCGGTCCCAAGAGTTGAAGGGCGACCTGATGTTTCATGTTATTAATAATAACTAAAATTAAACATTTTAACGCCTTTCTGGAATGGAATATTTCCTCATTTTTTCACTGGTAATTCGTGAAATTGAAAGTTTGTGATGATCTGTCTTTGTTACTCTAAACTTGGTGGAGGAATTAGTTTACTAATTCCTCTATGCTCTGAATGCCGTTTTCCTATTTTGTCATACGTAATTGTAAAGCCCGTTTTTGTACAATGAAGGCCGCGTCAACCGAACTAATTCAAGATCATTTAGGCCTATATTATGAAAAATCTCTTCCAAGTAAAATTAAATGGTAATATAAGCCTATGTCCGCCCCGACACTGTTAGGCTTTATACTTTCTACTTCACTGATGATAGAATGAATATTTGAATTTGAGACTCACGTTTTGTTCAAGGCCGTTTCTTGATCCCGGATTTGAGTCAGCATCAGTGCCGTCATTCTCCTTTTCAGAACAGAAAATGGAATTATCGACTATAGTAATTGCAAATCAACCATTATATCGATTTTGTTTTGTTATTATTACCTTCATAAACAGAACAGAAAAGAGTTCAACCATAAATGTCTATACATACCGTAGGCATTCTACAATTATAGGCCTATTTGAAGTTGATCATAATTCTTGTTTAAAATGTAAACATAATGTATTTCACATCTTTCATTTGGCTCATTCACGTCAATATTATTTCGGGTCCAGTCGACTTTTACAATTTTCGCCTGTCTACTGGATAATGACACGTATATTTTTCATCATTTTGACTGACTATTTGATAATGATACATTTTATTTCGAAACGACGTTTACCTTTTGCCTGCCTATCGACACAAATGGTTTCATGTTGAGTCCAGTCGACTTTTATAATTACAATATTGCCTGTCTATTGGATAATGACACGAATATTTTTATTTCAAGTCGAGTCGACTTTATCAATTTTTCCTGTTTTGTTTTTTCGAGTCGACTTTCATCATTTTTGCTACATTTGATAATACGAATATTTTTATTTCGAGTAGAGTTGACTTTAATCATTTTGCCTGCCTATTTGATAATAGGCGTATTCGACTGGTCTGTTTTGAGCAGCTCTTTCACTCAAACTGCACATGCCGTATTCGATTGGTCGCACGAGCAGCACGAATTCCTCACAAAAGCGGCTCGAACTCCTCGCTGTTTTTTAACGAGCACACTCCGAGTAGTAATTTTCTCCTCTGAAAAGGACCAGTCGAATACGCCTAATGACTTAAAACATTTTATTTATATTTTCTTGCCTGCCTATTGACACAAATATTTTCATTTTAAGTCCAGTCGTCTTTTATAATTATTGCCGGTTTATACTATTGGATAATGACACCAATATTTTTATTTCGAGTCAGTCCAATCAACATTTTTCCCGCCTTGGATAATGATATGAACATTTCAAATTCGAGAGCCGCTCTTTTTACTTTTTTGCCTGCCTACTGATACAAATATTTTTATTTCGAGTCCAATTTACCCATGTTTGCTTCTATTTGATAATAATATTTTTGTTTTGAGTCGAATCGACTTGTAGTTTTTGTAGCATTTTTCTTGCATTATGAACCAGTAATGACGTCACACGAATATTTTGGTTTTTTTTAAATTTTGAGTTATAAGTCGTGTTTTACCATCTCTTTGTTATTGTAAACATCCTGATTTGAGATGCAACGCAGGCCTGTAGCTTGACTTAATTTGTTGGAGGTTCGTTTCAGTGGAAAGTGAACCCTTTGGAAACCGTTATACAATTACGTAATATTGTTAGCTGGGAAAGCTTAGAAATGCCGACTTCTGGCTTGTATGATCTCCGATACTCTGGAGAACATTGTAAATATATCTACGAATATAATTTTTTTGTTTATAAATATGGACCTTCATCAGTTTTTGGACGGTTCGTCGTAACCCCCTTAACCCCCCCCCCCCCCCCCCAACCCCCCCCCCCCCCCCCCCCACATGGTTAAATGTAAGATGTAGTCATTTCTATTTGAGAGGGTAGTCTCCATCCAGAAATTCAAAATAGAGGAGGCCCGAGGAAGTACTTTCACAGATGGAAGATCTATACCACATCAGCCCCACCATGGTTGGGGCCGAGGTAAGAAAATTTGTGATTATGGCATCTCTAGATGGCCGGAAATTGCACGCTGTGACTTAAAATTTGAATATTATTTTCTTTATATCTCAATTTAATCTACATTAATTGTGACCAAAAAGACCGTAGATTTTAACCTTTAGTTTGAATTCGTTGAAGATCAAAGATGAAAACGATTTAAATACAGCCTCTTCATCCTTTTTGATACCAACCTGTTAAAGGGAAAAGCTTATGTTCATTAATTATTCAAAACGGATAAACCATAATAATAATAATAATAATAATAATAATAATAATAAATAAATTGTTTTTGAATCAGAATTTTTTTTTTAGGTATCTCACAACATCCGTCAACTTGTATAAATAATAGACCTATAATCATTGTTATTCATATTGCATTATATAATGCTGTCTCTTATACACATCTAGATGTGTATAAGAGACAGCCTTTAGAATAAAAGCCTGGCCTATGGCCTATATTTTAAAAACAAAGAATAAAGTAATCTGCCATTAACAAAACATTGTAATATAATATAATACAGGATCAACGTTTTCAGTTCCTTTTCGCGCTTTTTTCAGTTCCTTTCAGTTCCACAAAAAGTTGAACATGGGCAACTGAAAGGAACTCAACTCAACTCAACTCAACTCGACAAATATGCGCAACTGTCAGTTCCTTTCAGTTGCGGTCAGTTGCGGTCAGTTGCGTTCAGTTCCTTTCAGTTGCGTTCAGTTCCTTTCAGTTGCGCGGAGCGCTCATGTCGACCAGTTGAGTTGAGTTGAGTTGAGTTGAGTTGAGTTCCGTGTCGACCTGAGCCTGCCTAACGACAACAGCGCGTATTTTGATTTCACGAACTAACACAATTGAATTTAATTGTGTTAGTTCGTGATGTGAGCGACGACTTGACAGGTCTGGAATAGCAACATCAATAGGTAGCCTAATGCAATGCTACTGTACTGTACTGTACCTTATAAACAACAGACCTAGGCCTATATTTGGTTAATATTAACCCTGTTAATAAATTATTAAAAGATACCGGGGTAACAAAAATAAATGAAAAGATAATGCCTATGGAGATGATTATGACAATATTGATAAGTTTGCATATAATTAATAGCCTAATGTTAATGATTGAGTGCACCTATGATTATGATAATGATGATGCAAATTTAAGGATGTTAGAACTTTTAAATCATAAAAGAAAAATACTTTTCTTAATCTGTGTCATATTTAATGTTAATATAGGCCTATGTGTTTTCTCACATTTGTATATTTTTTAGATTTTTCGATTTTTGGGAAGTCAGTTAAGTCTTTACGGTAGGCCTACTGACCAATCAGCTGCAAAATGATAAGTCCGAATCCAGCAACAGACTCGTATTTACTGATGACGTCACGGGGATCATACATAGTCTCTCGATAATAATAAAGTGTAGCGTACGTTATCAAGTAACATGTCATGAATATAAATATCCTGATGAATGTGACGAGTGTCAACCTTGCTCTGAAAAGATTAATTATGAAATAGAAATACGTTAATTTTTACTCTGTATCTTATTACATTAACAAATTCCCAGGTTGCTACGTCATAGTTTTTTTTAATGCTAAACTTTGTTCACACTGGACCGATTAGATGCGTTTTGACGCGTAAATTGATACGCATACGCGCAGTCACCACAGTCCATTTCCCATGTGAACCATTAAAATTATGCTAGTAATAAAGACTGAAAAGGTATCAGGGGCGTCGGAAGCTATTTTTATTGGTCCCGTCCAAATATACATAATCATTGCATGAACATGACTTCTTTTCATTAGATTTGTCTTTGTCTATAGCTCAAAACACGCAATATTCTATTATATCAATCATTCATACTTGTACTAAATATATCATTTAACCATTCATGCTTTATCATTTATATTTGTCACCATGGTATTTCATAAATATTAACGTACGTACAAGTAAAAGTAGTTAAACATTGCTTTAACAGTAGAAATGATATTATTTATAAATGATGTTTTACACTAGCCGATGTATATACCATACGGCCTGCTCATTGTGTTGCAAAAATACTGTAAAAGAATTGACACGTATTCGTCTCAACCAGGGCCATAGCTCAGCTACCGGTTGTACGCATTGGCGGCCAGGACCATGTCATAGTAATTTTTTTAATCAAAAAAGTGTAAATCGATCAGTTGAATTGATTAATAAGTATCTATCAGTTAATAAGTATCTTATCAAAATTGCTTGCGTTTGTCCTATACCACCCTGACCGGGACTGTTGTAGGACCTGAGTGGAACCCATGTAGAAACGTACAGTACATGATTCTAATATTGACCCTCCACCCAAAGTTGATGCCCCTGATTTTTATTGCTCTGTTGAGTGCTTATCACCTGGTAGATCTGTCCATATCATGGGAATACCTACATACATGGTCCTGCCATTAATAAACTAAAAGTTTACTAAATAATAATACTAAATAATATACTAGCAGTCTGTTATTTGAAAATCTAACGTATTCACCCAGCTTAATTCAAAAGACATTTAAATAGGTTTACTAAATAATGCATAGCATATACCCTGTCTATTCATAACACATGTTAATTTAATTAGGCCACATCTTTTTATATGTATTTCACAATATCCGTCAACCCGTATAAATATAATAGGCGCACATTCTTTGTTATGCATATTGCATTATATACGGTAATATAATTTTGTTCCTGTTTCTTGCACTTTATTTATCCATGGAGGAATATGCATACCGTACTATATTCTGTGCATACATAACACATGATTTATTTAATAAGCATGCTGTTATTATTTTATAGCAAAATGCTAGGTTTTTATAGTTTTAATCTTTACTAAAGTGGCTGGTCTGTTTCTGAGATACACATAGTAAATTTTAAAAAGTTTTAAACAGTGATTTTTACTACTTTACTATTTTAAATTGTTAATATCTTAACGTATTGGTCGTCATTACCAGGTTGTTTTGTCATGTGATTTTTAATGTAATTTTATCCTTCTTAACCAAGACTGTTGCAAAGGAAAAACAAATTCCTTTTTAAAATGGACAATAAAGTGTTCTTGAATCTAGAATCTTTTTTTAGGTATTTCACAACATCCGTCAACTTGTATAAATATAATCAACCTATAATCATTGTTATTCATATTGCATTATATAATGTGTTCATATTTCTTGCACTTTATTTATTCATTCATTGAGGAATAAGCATCTCATTTCATATAATTATGGAAGTGATAAGAAATTGTGAACAATTTATTTTATATAATTTTTGCAATACACTGTCTTTCATATTATTAAAAAAACTAATTGTGATTTGGTCATTATTTTTCTATATATAGCATTCTTAACCTATGTGATGACTGTACTCTCGAAAAGGGCCCATCGGAACCTCGTTTCACCACTGGGAAGTGGCAGGTTCGAGGGAGGTCCCAGCCGGCACCCTCCAAATTTATAAGTTATGTTTGACTGCGTCAGAGAAAGTAGAAGTTGGCTTACAAACGATATTGAGTTGTACATTATTGGTCCGGCCAAAACCAGACCAGCCCTTTCATTAGACGGAGTAGGCCTAATCAAATTAGCATAAGTAATAAAACATAATGTGTTTGAAAACTAAATATCATAACCACGCTTAATACATTTGTAAATATTTGTATTGCTAGCGTTTTTAATAAAGAAATATTTTTTTTTGCATTTTACTATTTCACACTTGTACATCGACATAGGCCTAGGCACAGAAAAAAGGGAATTGGAACAGACACTAACATCTCTCAGATATTTTTTCCTCTTTTCCCTTTTATTTTTACCTGTAGGACGTAGAAAGGCAGCACCTATATATGGAAAACGTTTTCCAGGCTTTCCAATCTTCCCATGCTAATTTCCCTTACATGTTATAAGAGTTCATTGGGAGTAGGGAAGTCTATTTTACAAATGTACTTCTACATCGTAAAAACGGTTCTATCTGGAGTATAGCAAGCAGTATTTTAGGCATATGGTTACCTGGTAACAGTGTATCCTTTAGCAACGAGAATAAGAAGTAGAACGAATATGACGCTAGAGCACGATGATACAACTTCTCCTGTTAACAACAACAACAACAAAAAAATCGTGTAAATCTTGGCGTACAGTGCGTGTGTTACGTCAACGCGTCGAATTACGCAAGTATGAACCAAGCTTTGGCGGCCCGCCTTTAGATGAAAACATAAATATTCAGGGCTATACATTGGATTGTAAGCCGAAGTAGTAAAAAATATTGATTATATATGTTGCAAATAGTTGTTATTACCTATGTACATATTTATAATTGATTAACCAGTATACGACTGAATCGATCAATAGGCCTATTTATAATATTTATCATATATTATTTATCATATCACATTTGTATAGGCCTATACCAATTGAGACATCAACTATTGTGTCCAGATGTTAAAATATTTTAGGCTTAGATGAAAATGCATCAAGATAATTATAACAATAGCTATTAATTAAAAAGGCATTTTGCAATTAATCAATACCGATAATTTTAAGGTTAGGCAGTCCAATGCCGTTTGTAGCATATTCCATCAAGGCCACTACTTGCAAGAAAATACTGAGAGTTTGTATGTAGCATGACCACGCAAATAGCTGGTAGGTATTGTGCAGAAGACGGCGTCTGCGCAGTTGATCTGAAACGTAATAACAGTAAAGTACTGTAATAATAATCATAATAGTATGTATCTTGATAAAGCGACTATTCTTTTGATGATTACTGAGGGCGCACTCCATTCCTAACATACCGGATCTAATATAATCTGTACACAACAAATATAATTATGAAAATATTTAAAAACACTGCCATCAGCATATTACTCAAGGGTTCTACAGAGCAAAATATTATAAAATAAAGTATGGAGTTTAACAAAAAAGTTTGATTTGACATCTAAATAGTTTCACTGTAAGTTTTTGTATGGGAGGGGACTTCCCTGAATCAGCCAGTGAGTGGGACTTTCTGGTTAAATATTAATAAAGAAAGAAAACACGGTGTGCCTATTTTTTCTAAATAGTGGCACATCCGTGTCAAGAAACTATTAAGTTAATAAATGTCTAATCAAACTTATTATTAAATCCCGTAAGTGTTTGTGTGCGTATTTATGTACAGTATATGATCTGTCTCTTATACACATCTAGATGTGTATAAGAGACAGTTTTTATAGTAAGAGACAGTATATATATATTATATCTACACACACTAGTAGTACCGGTAACGTCATTAGTCCACATTCATTTTAAACTTGATTGTAACATCTTAAACTAAGGATTGTCTGATTGATTGGTGCTGCAGAGCGTATTATCGCTCGCGGGGGCCATGTACAAACGGCAGACGTGGGCTGAAATCCTCTTGAACTTCTTATAGGCCTATTATTTCCTTTTTGTATTTGTTTATGCGTGGAAGTATACGGTACCGTGCATTGCTTATCTCAGTTCCGTTATATTTCGTGATTTTCGTTAAATCAGTCCATTCCAGTCCAGGATGTTTTCTCTCATAACGGATGTATTAGATACCAGCCAGACCAATCAAGAGATATTTAGATCTCAGCACGAAAAACCGGCTAAAAATTTCATTTCAAGCATAACCACAGCGTAAATAAGTCTCTGTAACTATGTCAATCTATTGTACTGTTTGCATATTATAATAATAACAACAACAACAGCAACAGCAAAAACAACAACAACAACAACAGCTAGAACAACATCAAACGATGTTAGACTTATTCGGGGACTTATTATATTACTTCATGCCAACAACGCCCCTAAGGTCATTGGATAAAGCATTATATTGAAACACATACTTAGTTCCCTGGGAGAACTCCATAATGTTGCAGCTGTGTAGCCAGTTACATTTCGTGATTTTGTTGAGTCAGTCCATTTCAGTCTAGGATGTTTCTCATAACGAAAGCATGAGATACCAGGCAGGCAGACCGGTGGAGGGATATAACCGCGTTGGTCTTAGCATGAAAATGTAATGGAAATCAGCGCCCTTCTGTGTTTCAACCTACCACTTGTGCTCCAGGAACAGGGACGGAGGTAATGTGTATTGAAATGCACAACTAGGGATTGAACTTCCGACCTCAAGATAGAAAAGCAGAAACGCAACAGCTGCTCCAAACCGCTATCTGTTGTATATATATATTTTTTCAATTCAATAGGTTTGTATCATAGTATTGTTGACAATAACCAAGCTAATAATAAAAAAAACTTACTTTTGAAGTGGCACAGTGCAACGCAGGTGATGCAGTATATTCCAAGAAACACAGCATCTGTTTCAAGAATATCTGATTAAAACATTAATTAACATAAAATAAGAAATTATGGTATCATCGATTACAATTCGATCATTTTGAATTTGGATATAATTTGTATATATAGGCCTAAAATGTATAATGTCATTGCCACTTTCAGATACAATGGTGGACAAAAAAAATCTTACAACGTTCGTCTGCTGAAAATTGTTTATCAAGCGCTCGGCGACCATTTGTCATGTTGATGTTAAAGCGCAGACTATGTATCCCTTTGCCATCACAGTTGGCAACTGTCAGGTACCACCATCGTTCATCAGCATGCTCGAACGTCTGCTTTCCAAAACAAAATAACTCCTTCAAAAAATAAATAAATAAATATAAAACAAGCAAATTGTAAACGATTAGGCACACGTGTAATGCACAGGATCGTATATTTAACCTTCAACTCGAATACATTAATTATATTCGGGTTAACTGCAATTGAATTAGTGTTAAGTATAATGTAACTGTAATTGAATTAGTTTTAAGTTGAAATGCATTAAACTTAACATTAATTGTATTCGAGTTAACTGGAATTGAACTGTGTTAAGTGGAATTTGATTGGTCCGTTTCACTAATTTGGTCAATTAGTGTTAAGTGTAATGTATTCGACTTAACATTAATATAACAGCCAATCACAATTACTTAACGGACATTCCAAATTTGGTCAATTAGTGTTAAGTGGAAATGCATTCAGCTTAAAAATAATGCTTTAGAGTTAACTGCAATCGAATTAGCGTTAAGTAGACAGTGGCGGAATCCAGGGGGCGGGAGTTTCAGCGGTTTTGGACGACCCCCCCCCCCCTCTGTGAAGAAACGTAACAAAATACTACTGGGTCCTGGCTTAAAAAAAACATGCTAAAATCAGACGTGGATTTATTTCTCACCTTGCCAGGCGAAGGTCAGTGTGAGAAATAAAAATAAAATGTTGACCATTTTCCAACAATCATACTTACTTTAGGACAATGTTTAAATCCACACTATCCTACCTTACACTTTTACACTGATTGTACTGTAGGCCCTACCAGAGAGGTACATTCCCAATACATTATGGTCTTCCACTTCTTTAGCGCATAATACAGTGCATGACAAACGTTACGTAACCACTAATAATACTCAGGTCCAGTGGCGTAGGTATGGGCAGTGCAGTCAGTGCACAGCACTGGGGCCAGGGGCTATTGGGGGCTCATTCAATAGGTCTAATGATCTAAAAATATAACTTTAAAAAGTCCTATTTAAACTTTAAAAGGACCCTTCAATAATGTTAGGTTTTAGAGGCTATAATTATTGATGATTACAATTTACTTATTACCTATTTCCCAAACGCTGCAAGTAAAAAAAAACACAACAAAACAAGCCCTTACGTATACGATGCAATAATTACTTTTTGAAATCACATTTCTAAAGCAATAAAATATCGTCACGCACATTTGTGTTTGTGGTATTTTAAAGTCGGTTTAACTGTTAGGCTATTGTGTACGTTTTTAAACACTTCAGATCATCATAACTTCATGAATACATTTTAAATTCAGCTCACTGCAAGTAGGTCGATGACTGTTCTATTATTGAATGGTAACTGTTATTATCGTGATGAAATAGATAATACCTGGATTTACGTCAGGAGCAGGGGCGGATCCAGAGATGTCCAAAAAGAGTGGGGGGGGGGGCAAAAGTTGGGCCGATCGAGACAACACTGTCATTGGGGGTCCGGGGCATGCCCCCGCGAAATATTTGCGTTCTAGACGCTCGAAAATAGCATTTGAGGCGTTCTGGGCTATCATTTTTTTTTACTTTTTCTTTATTTTTTTACCTCCCAAAAAGGAGGGGGGGGGGCGCATCCCCCATAAATCCGCCCCCGAGGAGAATCAATTAGGGGGCCTATATGTGTAATTTTGCCCATCCTGGAAAATGTACTGAATACTCAGCGCGTATCAAAACACTTGCAAAAATGCACTCATACATTTTGAAATCATATTTCTAAAGCAATAAAATATCGTCACGCACATTTGTGTTTGTGGTACAGTATTTTAAAGTTGGTACGTTTTTAAACACTTCAGATCATCATAACTTCACGAATACATTTTAGATTCACTTCACTGCAAGTAGGTCGATGACTGTTCTATTATTGAATAGTAATTGTTAGGCCTATTATCGTGATGGAATAGACAATACCTGGATTGCTTCAAGAGAATCAATTAGGGGGCCTATGTGTAACTTTGCCCAACTTGTCGTGAAAATGTACTGAATACTCAGTGCGTGTGGAAATACTTGCAAAAAATATTTGCAAGTTGTTCTCCGATGGGACTCGACTCCAGGTCACTAGCCTGACATCATACCGCCACCGAGCCTGTACCTGAAGGCCAGGGTTGAATTCGAGCCAAGTAAGCAGCGGGTACTATTTTTGCAAGTGTTTTCACACACAATGAGTATTCAGTACATTTTCACGACGGGTTGGGCGAAATTCCACCTATAGATGTTCTATTGTTGTCAATATTATAATACAGTATATCATAGATTCCTGAAATGCCTAATAGGCCCTAAACGATAAATATATATATGCCTATGACTTGACCATGGTTTGTTCTCAATATTCTTGAATTTTTTAAACAAAATATTTTTTAGATATTTCTGAGCGTTAATGCCGTATCTGTTTTAAAAAATCTCAGAATGTATGAGCATTTTTAAGCGTTTCGCCTGAGTTGACCCCACTAATGGCACCTTGACACTTGCACGATTTTCGTTCCCGCACATTCGTACAATTCGTAACTTATGCGTGTACAGTGCGCGAACAGGCCGCAAACACGGGTTCACGCTCTGCAGCGTACCACCGAAATGGCACGTCTTGCCACAACGCATTGCGCGGCATTGCGGGGACAAAAATTGTGCAAGTGTCAGGGTGGCTTAAGGCTCTGTCTCTAGGTCCGATCAGGTGCATTCTATTACCAATTTTACCTAGTAAGGGCCCGGCAGTTATCTATGCCATAGTTACCAATCGTCACGCATCGTGCGGGACGGTCCCGCGTTTCAAAGTGATTTTGGATGAAACGCATTTTGCAGAAACACATGCGAGATCATAAATGTGTCACGCATTTACAACTTGCGCGATAACGAATTATCACAAATTCAGGGAAAACGTATTTAAAATTAGAAGAAATTGGTTTTATTAAAAATATAAAAACGGTCATACAGTAATTTGGATCATTGGAGGGCTTTCGTTATCTCGTTAGATAATAAATTCACAGAGAAAGTTTCTCTTTTACGACCAAAACAACCCAGCCAACCACGCACTTGTATAATCTAGTATTCGCGAGCTGTCTTGCGAGTTTATTGTTACAACCAACCGTTTATTATGTGATGACTGGAACACGAACTTCCGCAGGGGTTCTGCCCCTGGACCGCTGGCGGCACCACCCACCCAATTGGTGTAGTCACGCATTTCAAATCTCTCAGGTTGGTAACTATATCTATGCTGATGAAATGAGAGTCCACACAAAATCGAACTTAAATTACCTTTTTTTTTTTTAATTTTGACGAATTTAGTGTAAAAAAAACCGAATTAATTAAATAAGTACCATAAAATGGCACTTAAATATTTAGAATTCTAAAAACTACCAAATCCAACTGAGCCCTACTATAATGGTTGGGGCTCAGGTGAGAAAATTTGGGGAATTTGAGACTTTGTAGATGCCCGAAAATGAATACTTAAAATTTATGAAAACTACCAATCCATCCACCTCAACCCACCGTAATTGAGGCTGAGGTAAGACAAAAGTGTGAGAATTTGAGACTTCTAGTGGGGTGGGGGAGGTGCTAAAGCAACCTGAGCATCCCCATTCCCTCGATACGCCACCGCAGAAATATCTTCCTTGTCTCTCTCTCTTTATCGGGCACACCCGGTTAATGATGAGCAAAGTTCCAATTTTTTTTAATGACTGTTCTCCACAAATCTCTGTTTTCCATTAAGTTGTGGAATGTACTCAGCGGCGTAACGAACGCCTGTGCGGTCTCGTGCCGCGGCCTGCAGGGCCCTCCCGACTCCTAGGGTGGGGTTGAGGTGGTACGACTCCAAATTCCTACTAGTACTGCTAGATCCGCCACTAATATCATATCATTTTTTCGTCGTTAAAAACATTTATAATATATTAAATGGCAAACGTGTTTAAAAAACACATTTAAACCCCGTAATGGAATTTATAGCGACCGGGACCGGAAAAGAGCCCCTAGTCTCAGAAAACCACAGGGCCCAAGCCCTAGTGTTACGCCACTGAATGTACTGCCACTGTGTGTTTATAGTAGATCCTTTTCTAATTGTTTGATGTATGTAGTCGGGGCCGTCCTTGCTTTATTTCCCCATGGGTTGGTTCCCAAAAGAGAACCATTGAAAAAACTTCATTTTTACATCTTTAGTAATGTCCAGCAAATACTAACCTTCGTTCAAAGTTCTTGATATACAGGGGGAAATATCTCTATATGATGATACCACTTTTTCTCTGTCGACGCAATGTTGCTCTTTACAGTGCACGGTAGTGGAGCCCTGGGCTTATCCCGGGGTGGAAGGTGCTGATGCTCAACATACTGCCTTTGAGTATCTGCGCATACTTACATGGGGAGCAACACTGCCTCGATGGGATAATTTGGTATGCGGATTCTGCTTGAAATTTTTCTGGAATTAATTTGAATTTTCACCGAGGCGTATAGACTACCTTGATGTTTCTCTGTTGAATTTATATTACTCACAAAAAAAATATTCAAAATAAATAAATAAATAAATAAACACATGATACCACTTTACTCTGTCGACGCAATGCAGCTTCTGTTGCAGTGCACGATAGTGGAGCCCCGGGCTTATCCTGGGGTGAAAGGTGCTGATTCTCAACATACTGCCTTTGGGTATCTGCGTATACTTTTATGGGAAGCAACATTGCCTCGATGGGATAATTGGTATTTGGATTTTGCTGAAAATTCTTCTGGGAATTATTTGGATCTTGTTGGTTTAATTGTCTATGCGCCTTGAGCACATTTGGTGGAGATGTGCGCTTTATAAATCTTTATTATTATTATTATTATTATTATTATTATTATTATTATTATTATTATTATTATTATTATTATTATTATTATTACTATTATTATTATTATTATTATTATTATTATTATTATTATTATACTACATAATATGTTGTTTATAGTTGTTATTCAAGGCGTGTCTGAGTAATCTTGTATAGCAACCATTAAGTCCTATCTCTCAAGAATATGTTCATTTATCTTTTTATAGTAATACCATATATACTCGCGTAGAAGATTTTTGGTTAACATTTGTACGTCGGGCGTATAAGACGACCCCCTGTTTCATGGTCGGAATTGCTAATTTGTTGTGGTCCTGATACTGCATCTAGCTGGATAAATGGAGCCACATGCAAGGGTAATCTTCCAAATAATACCATTTTATGAGTTTTTAAATCTTCACCACCAAAATTGAATTTTCCCGTATTAAATATTGCGTCCATTCATACATTTATTTGCTTCATTACAGTGGAAAGTTCGCGTTTTACGGACATTCGAACATGATTATAAAAATCTAAAATTTGAATGTCGTGCGTATATAAGACGACCCCCTTTTTTCGATTGTAATTTGCTATTTTAAGCCTCGTCCTATACGCGAGTATATACGGTATTTGTTTTAAAACCCTAGGTCACCTGAGCGTTAGAGGATTCCCCCATACAGTGGCGGATTCAAGGGGAACCCCGGCCTGGGCCCCCGTAGATATTTCAAAATCATTGTATAAGAATGGTGAGAAAAAAAAATGAAAATTATATTCAAATCCTGAGAATGCCATTTCCGGCCATCTAAAGGCGACGTAATCTTACTTTTTCTTACCTCAGGCCGAACCAAGGCGGGAGGCGAGGGGGGGGGGGGGCAGACAAACTGGCTTAGCCCAACTAGCCTTCAATTAAATAAAATTATACACAAGTTTTTATTTCGACGTCGTAATAATTTATGTACGAAAGTGCGTTCTTCAGAATCTATCGGTTCATCGATCCATGAAAGAAAGACTACGTATCCAACTACTCAATATTGTTAATATATACGTGTATATTGTTGTATAATAACCATTGGGGGCAATGATCTCCCGGCTTCATGCAAATCTTTATTATGTACAGTTATATATGTATGCTTACTAATTATCGAAAGACTCTCAAGCCGTCATTGTCTACAGTTCAAATGCGGTTTATGAACTTTATGTATTTACTTTATCCGCATTTTGAGTGAAGTAATTCTTGATTTTGTGATATGCGCATTAGCGTTGGAAGGGAGGCTGGGGGACTGAATCCCCCACTAATTATTTAAAGAGACTTTCCTGGAAAACAATCAGTGCCTGCTGAAGGCAATATTGTCCTTGCCCAAAATTCAAATGCGGTTAATGAACTGTATTTACTCTAGCCGCATTTTGAATGTATAATTCGTGATTCGTATGTTTTTGTTTATGGGTGTGACGTGCACGTGAGCGTAGGAACGATCTTCGTGCTGAAGCCTCTAAAACGCTTTGTACACACTATGATGTGTGACAAATTTATATTTTGTGCTTATATATGTGCGCTATATAAATTCTGTAATGTAAAATTAGTGACTGAAAAAGTGATATTAAGAGATACAGTATAATTATTACTGACCTGTTCGTTATGTGTGTTAATCTTGCAGTGGGACGCCTCACTGAGGTTTACCGTGGTTTTATAAGATCCATCCAATAAAGAACGCTTTTCAATGCATGACTGAAATGTATAAATTGTATGAAAGTACATTTTTCACAATTGTTTATTTATTTTATATTGAATAACATGAGACAATTATAGTCTGTGCATTCAGAAGCGACATACAGTAATCAATGTTTTTTGCTATATAAATCTATGCATATTACTTTTATTATATTGAATATGAACGAAATGTCTGAAAGAAATCAACATTATAACAATACTGTATATAGAATTGTTTTCTTCCATTGTATATTGTACGTATGCCATACTGTACTTTACATTACTGCATTACTTAAATAACCGACCAGATTCAACGCTGTTTTTTATAATACTTTCAAAGACCATGCTGTACGTAGTGTCTAGGCATAGGGATATTATAATTACTGTACAATACTAAACATTAGTCCATTAATTTTCACTGTGTGAACTACACTGTCTCGGCCAACTACCAAGATATTTTGGTCTACCTTACTACCGTATACACCGTAGCTTTCACATGACAGGCAATAATATTCCACAAGCGGCGAACACTGCTTTCGCGACTCGCGAGGAGAGGAGAAGTCGGCATGTATATTCATGTTATCAATTCACCTAATTGACCTAGAATAGCGCCCTCTGTAATTTCTGCCTTAAATGTATGAAAAAAAATAATGCGAACAGCGTGACTAAGCCACCTTAAAGAGGCGCTCATCATAGGTCCAGGTTCACATTTTTCCACAACGGCAAGGGCTGAAATGGACCATAGCATCATAGCATTCCGAAATAATGCAATGGGTTCTTTAAAGTATGGAGGAATTAGTTTTAATTCCTCTATGCTTAAAGAGTACTTGGCAGCCAGATGTGTACACTGGCCCTCCATTTTATATCCTTATCCGAAAAGACTTGGTTCTACCAACTGAATCCTGGGCGAGGAGTGGCTCGAACAAATGCCGATGTTAAAGACTGAGTAATCGACGCTCTTGCCTTACGTTACTACGAAGTTAGTTAATAAGTGGACGTTACAATTTTTTTTATTGGAGAAAGAAATACATCCTTTGATAGGCCTATATAATTATTACCAAGGTATCTTCATGTTGCCTGATGTAAGGCCATTGCGTCACGTGATCGTTGAAGATAAGAAGCTGGTAACAACATTGCGACTGCAAATAGAAAAACAAAACCATACTTATGGAATATTAAAAATAAGAAGTAGCTGCATTGGCAAAAGTGTAGATATATCAATTAAAACTCGGGGACAATGTATAAATTCTGTCTCTTATACACATCTAGATGTGTATAAGAGACAGTTTCCTAGCCAGGTAGCCTCTGCAGCAGGCCTGTATAGTAACAGCTGCAAGCCACTGCTGCATTCTATTACACAATGTATTTATTTATAGGACAACATATGTTGAGAGCTATGCTACACGATGTATTACCATGTTCTTTACTCGAACACTGTATTAACCTTTCTTTGATGATTTATATTATATAATTCAACAGTGTTGAGACGGCTATCTTGATTTATATTATATGTTAAAATTTATTCCCAGCCGTACGTATGTGCAATAGAGTGTAACTGACGGTTAGTTGAAGCTGTTTAACCATGAAGCCTCTGTGGTGTAGTGGTTATGACGCTCGCCTTGACAGCAAGAGGTCACAGTTTCGATTCTCGTCGGAGGCATTTTATTACACAATGTATATAATTATATTTATAGGAGAGCATTTGTTGAAAGCTAAGCTATGCTATACGATGTACCATTATGTCGTTTATTCGAACACTGTTCTTACCATTTTTTGATAATATATATGTATATATATATATATGTATATATATATATAATATATATATATATATATATATATATATATATAACACAACACAATGCCATATATGGAAAAAATCACACACATAAATAGGGAGGGGGAAGATTTTAACTGGTACTATCACTAATAATGATGGCATAGGCCTAAATAATAACATTTGAATTCTTTAATATATCATTTGTCATTGTCTTACCAATGGATAAACAAACGTGAAAACTAGCTCCCCGTATTCATCTGGTTGGAAAACAAACCGAGACACGAAAACGAAATTCTAGAATTAGATTAAAGACAGATGTTAAATTTCTTGACTATAGTAAAATATTAAAAGTAAACATAATAAAACTGGTGAATTGATTTAAACAATACAGTGTAGACGTAATTATTATCTGGCAACTGTTGTTATTTGTCTTTAACTATTTGAATTCATTTTATTACCATTTTCATTTGAGGTAATATATTCAAAAAGATCTTTATTCTCTTCAGCGATATCCTATGATCAAGGAAAGTTATGATCAAATATTAACAGCTGCAAAGTAATATGTCCATGGATTAAATTACAATGTCGTTTCATTAATCCTGTTTACTAACACACATGGCAGCCAAAGCAATATCGACATTTAAATATAACAATTTATTTAAATTTATTATTGAGTGTACCTGTAGTTAGGCGGCCTCATTGTTTGGAACAATCGAAAAATGTACAATAATAGTAACAACACATTACCTGTTGACTTTCGTTTATGATTCCACCGACATGTTTTGACGCAGCTGGTGGTGTTTCCAGTATTATTGAGCACGCTATGACTACGGTTACTAAAAACCGTCCGTCAGTTTTCATGGCATCTCAAGTTTTGACTTGAGATACCCGTCGTGCATTTTGTCCTTATTATAGTGGTTGTGTTTATGATGGCACCGTGGCATTGATCCCGTTACTACTGATACCATGGTACGCATCAGTCATGTGCACGCGTATGCGTAATCCATCTGCGCATTTTTATTCCATGCATCCTTGAATGTTTCCATGGAGACAAAATAAATTGCAGAGGTCGATATTTGTTATTATATATCATCATAAAATAATATAATAAGCTTCAAAGCAAAAGCAAAAGAAGAAATACAAAAGAAAAAGAAAACAATACAGACAAAACAATACAACAATGCACCTTTCCTCCGCTTAAGCCCCGCTGAATACGGTTGCTGAGGTTCAACACAAAGATAGCGTAAACGTGCGTAAACACTTACGTTATGAGACACGTCACACGTGTGTTTGTGGGACAAGGGCGCACTCGTAGCGATGTTCTGATTGGCCAGTTGTTAATTTTATTGATATTAGCCAAAGTTAAAACGAAAAATATAAAACGAAATATGCATTGGTTGTGTCTTAAAAAACTAACACATTTTTAAATGAAAAAAAGTTCAATACTCTAACGTTAAATGCTGTAAAAGTAGGCGGATATTAAACTATTTCAAAACCGGTGTTGGAATATAAATGTAAATGGGAGATTACAAACCATCATGACGGTATTATGCTAAATATTATCAAAGTACAAACTCCTTCGCTTGTGGAGTGCGTTTAAAAGAACATTCAACTCTACTCTAGCAACGTGGTGCATTCATGGGGGTGCAATATCCCATTCTTAGATTTTGCAGGAACTTTAAAAAAATATATTCATTGTGCTGTTATCAAGAATAAGACTTAAGCCCTATTTATCCATTTTGTGATCTTCGTTGATTTCTGGCCTGTCGCCTGATGAATACACATTGTTGCTTACTGCAATTTGGTATAAATGCTGTATTTTCCGTGTTCGATTGACACTATATTTCTAAACTTGGTTGAATAATAATATCCCCTCCCCCTTCCTGCCTTTGTATCTATATTTCGTCAATGCCTTCTCATAATACATCTACATAATTATTCTACCTCTCAGTCAAAATGCGTTGACTGTCATAATAACCAATTTATGGCCATTAGGCCTATTTATCCTTAAGTTTAACATGCTAAGAAAACAACTCCAGGCCTGTACGCAAGATTTTTATTGGGTGGGTGCGAATTTGTGGAGAGTGGACCAAAATGACTGGGCCGCAGATTCCTGCTGGGGTCGAGTGGGCGCAGCCCCCTCGCGCTCAGACATTTTTGATAATTTGAGATCTTAATTGATTCTCTCAAGGTAATTTAACAAAAGGACGCACATCTCGGGACATCAAAGGTTATAACTCTGGCATCGACATTCAAGGCGCACGTGCGTCCCTACACGCTGAACGTCACAAAAACCATAGCAACCAGACCATAAACCGTCAGCGTAAGTGACGATTTACCCACGCGCGTGTTAGTTGCCATGTTAGTCGCGCGTCGTGCGCTGATTACAAAGGTCTAATGATATTTTGCACTAACATTAGACTGAAATATATTCTTCATTTCAACATTAATTTTACCAAAATTGTGGTGAATTGTCGTTCATGAGACTCACTTCGCAGAAAAAATTAATAAATGTTCCGTATATACTCAAATGTTCGTCCTCGGCACCTAGATGTGTATAAGAGACAGAATCCTAATTATATAATTAGGCGGCCTACTAATCATTAAAGAAATAAGGCTCGGATCCAGACCTTCGCACCGTTCAGCATGGTGATGGTCTGGTTAAGATAAAACAATAAAAATAAAAAAAATTGATAAAATAAAAATTAAAATTAAAAGTATAAAATTGATTGCAGCACCGGGTGTTATAGGCATACAAGTAAACTCTTTGAACGTTTTACTGAAGACGACGACAGTAAAACATAGCATACCACCGTTGAATTTAATATAGTCCTATATAATATTCTGACTTTGCCACGGGCCTGAACTGTATACAGTACTGAGTACTGGGAAAATTATTCAATTTTTCATGTTTGACGTAAATAATGTTGAAATTCTTTTACAGGTCTCCCTCTAATTAAAGACCCTCCAATTAATGACCAGTTCCAATTAAAGATCACTTTTCTGTAGTCCCAAATTAACAAATGTCTATTATCTTTATTATTCTAAGTAGAGACCAAAGCTGCTAAAGACCATGGAAACCCCGGTCCGGGTCCCAAAAGTGGCCTTTAGTTGCAGGGAGACCTGTATACCGTACTGTATCCCAAAGAAAATAATAATGTTCATGATAATGAACTTGATATAATTTGTTACAGCGCCACCAGTCTTGACCATTGTTATACGCGCGTACTGTTTTTCCCGTATAGTGTTCCTGTCGTAGATTTCTTTGAGAATTCCTTTAAACTTTCATTTTTTCCCAAGATCGAGTCGACCAATATGCATTTTAATATTTGAAATGCACATTATATTGAACTATTATATTTTATATCCCAATTAAATCTACTAAAATAGGCTATGTAGGAATACGTTGGCTTTCAATCCAACAAACACATGTTAAAGTTGACCATTTTATAGTATATGTCCCCGCTTCCCAAACGTCTTCTCTCTGGGACCCAAGTTGTGATTTCCCACACTAGCCTCGACCCATCTAATAGGTTGTAAATTGCACAGCGACTTTTAGAAGATCTCCGAAATATGATGCTCATGTTTAAGGATAGGATAGAGTATTTGATGTGAAGCACACCAAGGATAACCTACTGAGTCCGAAGACTTGTTTCCAGTGTGGTCCTTCTGGTGGTGAATTGGGCAGTACACCGGGAGACAATCCCCTACTCTTTTCCAAAGAATGTAATTCGTTCCCGTGTGCCATCACACGGGACTAACGGCTTAAACGTCTCATCCGAAAGGCCGTGTGCTGTCGTAACTTGTATTTCAGCCCTCCTGCAGCTGAAAAACAAGGAGAGCAGCGATGGGAATTGAACCGGGGACCTAAAGATATCCACGGTTCAGCGCACACAGTGGCCACCACCAGTTGAGCTGAGCTGCACTATTTGACATTGGTATTGCTATTACAGTACATTATTTTTTTGTTTATTGTTTTTTTGCTTACCATCAGTGGCGGAACAGGAATTCCCCAGTGAGGGATACTTACAGGTAGAGGGTCTACCCACCCCAGCCTCACTATGGTTGGGGCTGAGATATGACATTTTATGATTGTGGGTAGATGGCCGGAAACGACCTCTTAGAATTTAATACTATTTTTTTCCCTCAATTATTTTTTTTTTATTATGAAAAATGTAGAGGACCGGACCGGCTTACACTCTCCCCTTGAATCCGTCATTGATTATCGTCCCATTTTCGCCACAGTGGGAAAATGAGACTTTTAATATATGAGGCGTTTAAAATGAAATACAAGAGACTTAAGTTAAAAATTACTTTGTGTGGCCTAAGTCTGACCCAAAATCCCGAAAATATTGGAACAGCGGGTTTTTTTTTCAGTCTTTAAATACTATTTGTGGGCATATAATAAAATATTGTTCTAAAGACGGTTCACTTAAAATATTGTTTTCAGGTCTGTTAAAAACTTTACACCAACATATGGATTGACAATCTTGTTTTTTTTTTTTTTTTTTTTTTTTTTCCAAACCACGCCCGCGACCCAATGCAAACGTTTGGCAACCCATTTTTGAGAAGCGTAGGTCTAGTAAACAACTTATGAAGATCTAATGACGATCACGACGTCATTAACGTGAAAAAGGATACACAGGGATACCAAAATAATTATGAGTGAAATTAAAATGTAGTTCATGTTCCCGAATACGTCAAATTTGTCATTGTGTTATTGTCTTGCGTGATCATTTTTATGCTACAACCGGAACAGTATGGACCTAAAAACATTTTCTCCAGAGTAGCAATCAAATTTAATAATTGAATAATGCTAACAGTGCCAAACACACGCACAAGTCTCACGAACTCTTTACGTAGTCTACTGTTGGCCTACGCTGCCGTTTTTGGGACCTTGGAAACAACGAACCAGTACGGCACCTTTATTATTATTATATAGCGCCGCCGCGCGGATGAGGTAAAATTGCTCTCTGTGTACTCACAATGCCTTTTGAACCGATGTTCCACTATATTGGGACTGTCTCTTATACACATCTAGATGTGTATTTTTTTTTATTATGAAAAATGTAGAGGACCGGACCGGCTTACACTCTCCCCTTGAATCCGTCATTGATTATCGTCCCATTTTCGCCACAGTGGGAAAATGAGACTTTTAATATATGAGGCGTTTAAAATGAAATACAAGAGACTTAAGTTAAAAATTACTTTGTGTGGCCTAAGTCTGACCCAAAATCCCGAAAATATTGGAACAGCGGGTTTTTTTTCAGTCTTTAAATACTATTTGTTGGTATATAATAAAATATTGTTCTAAAGACGGTTCACTTAAAATATTGTTTTCAGATCTGTTAAAAACTTTACACCAACATATGGATTGATAATCTTGTTTTTTTTTTTTTTTTTTTTTTTTTTCCAAACCACGCCCGCGACCCAATGCAAACGTTTGGCAACCCATTTTTGAGAAGCGTAGGTCTAGTAAACAACTTATGAAGATCTAATGACGATCACGACGTCATTAACGTGAAAAAGGATACACAGGGATACCAAAATAATTATGAGTGAAATTAGAATGTAGTTCATGTTCCCGAATACGTCAAATTTGTCATTGTGTTATTGTCTTGCGTGATCATTTTTATGCTACAACCGGAACAGTATGGACCTAAAAACATTTACTCCAGAGTAGCAATCACATTTAATAATTGACTAAATGCTAACAGTGCCAAACACACGCACAAGTCTCACGAACTCTTTACGTAGTCTACTGTTGGTCTACGCTGCCGTTTTTGGGACCTTGGAAACAACGAACCAGTACGGCACCTTTATTATTACCTTTATTATTACTATATAGCGCCGCCGCGCGGATGAGGTAAAATTGCTCTCTGTGTACTCACAATGCCTTTTGAACCGATGTTCAACTATATTGGGAAGCTGCTCTATCGTCTGCTATTTATTATCTTTGGTCTTATCTTCATTAGTAAACTCGCATGATATGGTTGACTAGTTCGTCACTAATATTTCTAATCGCATGCCTGTGTTATCAGATCAATACAAATTTATAGATTGATTCAACCTTTTAATCTTAAATTCATGCTAATTTCGTCGAGTGCAGGATTTCCACAATAAAAGTTAGGTCTATATACACTATACAGAAAATTAATGATCGCAGTAGTTCTTGGTAACAAGTTGAATTGATATAGGCCCTAAGCCATAACCGATGGTAACGAGACCATTGCACCTTTGTATTCAAGGAAGGTAAATCGTGTGATTTTCTCTTTATTATTTAAATGTACTTTCAGGCACTGAACTATAAAGTAACTGTTTTAATTCTTGTAGCTTTAGGGCCTACAAATTGGGACAATAGTTTGACAAATGTAGCTTGTAGGGGGCCGTTAGGATTTGTTGGGGGTAACCAGGCAGTCGGAAATGCTCAATAGCCTTGAGCACCTGGCCTACTCTAGCTGGCTATGATCGCATTGTCAGCGATGTAGTCTTCGACCTGCGAGTCCATAGTCATAAGGTAAAAACCTTAAGAAACAAACCGAATACAGTACATTATTTTAATTCGTATTTGCACCACGGCAGGTTGCTGAATATCGCCGATGCCACGATCGTCCACTGTCCGGAGTTGGTCAGTTGTTATTATTTATATATGATTTAACAGTGTTAACGGCTACCTTGATTTATGTTATTATGCACCTATTTGTTTCTAGCCGTACCTATTGTGTAATAGAGTGTATCTGGTGGTATTTGAATCTGTTCAACCATGAAGCCTCCGTGGTCTAGTGGTTATGACACTCGCCTTGACAGCGAGAGGTCGCAGGTTCGAGTCCCGCCAGAGGCATTTTATTACACAATTTCTTTATTCATTTATTTACAGGACTACATTCGTTGAGAGCTATGCTACACGATGTATTTATTAAGTCCTTTATTCGAACACTGTATTTACCTTTCTTTGATGAGTTATATATGATTTAACAGTGTTAACGGCTACCTTGATTTATGTTATATGCACCTATTTGTTTCTAGCCGTACCTATTGTGTAATAGAG